ACTTTGTAGAGTGAACAAAATTTAAAACCAATTCCTTCCAAATTCAAAACTGTAACGACAAATTTAATAACAAAAAGGTTAATCGTCAGGCCGATCCCGTAAATCCCCGTATCAGAGATCTCCACTCGGAGATTCGGCAACTGGTGAACGTACATAAGCGGAAAAAGTGGGAAGACCATCTGAAGACCTGTAACTTCGCCTCTGGTGTGAGCAAGCTTTGGTCAACCGTGAGGTAATTGTCCACCGGGAAAACCGTGGTTATTTCACCGAGCTTTATCGCTTCGTCACTGCACGGAGCCTAACCCTTTCCCCTACAACGTCCTCAGCAACGCTTTTCACCACTTCCGAAGATCCCTAGAGTAACCTTCGAAAGTCTGCTCTCTTTCTCGGCGCATACAACCGCAATTGTCAACAAAGTACAAAGCCGCAACAAAGTCCTCAAGTCCCTACCCGGCAGCACCTGTGGCAAAGACAACGAAACGTTACTGGCAACGCACAAGGCAATTGGCCGCCCTGTTCTGAACTATGCAACGCCTGTGTGGTTATCGGGGACTAGTAGGACGCAGTGGATGAAACTGCAGACTTGCCAAAACACGGCACCCAGACAGCGACGGATGCCTTCTGATGTTGCCGAAACATCACCTGCGCAACGAGGCCAATATGTTCCCGATTAAGGAGCATAACACAATGATCTGCAAGCAATTCCTAGTAGGGTGTTACCGTGTTAGGCACCCGAACAGACATCTGCTTGCGGAAGAACCCTCGCGACGGCACGTCAAAAGGTATCTATATGAACTGACGGACGAAGTCCGGGGGTTCATAAAACTCCTTCTGTACCCAACAGCATACCGACAGTTATATAGACTCTCGACCTGTGTATGCCGTTCTGGGCACGCAACCACCAGACGTGGACGAGACAGAGCTTCGTCTGCCTCGGGAGACTCGGACCCCATAGCCCAACCTCGATCTGGCTACTGCAGCAGGTTGAACTCATACTTGAGCAGAATAAATGCAGATGTGCCAAATGAATTCCCCGCATTCGGAGAGAAGCCCCATGACTCGCAGCATCTCTTCGCATGCCCACTGAACCCCACCCTGCTAACGCCTCTGGCCTTATGGACAGACCCCATCGAGGCTGCACGCTTCCTGGGTCTACCGCTAATAGAGCTTGACGACAACGATAAAACAACAACAGGAAACATGTGTTGGCATTAGCTGAGGGAAAAGACGACATTTCAGAGTTCTTAAAAATTTAATTTCAAAAGACGTACTGCGCAATAAAATTTATTTTAAAGAACAAAAAACTCAATCTGGATATAGTGAACAATCTGCTCTGTATGGACTGGTCTTGCATTAATTAGTTCACTCGACCCAGATAGCACTGTAATAAATTTGCTGCCAAAATGTTATTTCTATGCGTATTATCGGTGGTTCGAACCCTCGGAATAATACAATAATTCTCTGAATAATTTGTAGTAACAGCAAAAGAGAATTCTTACTTAAAGTAAAGCATAAGAATGTACTACATTGTGTAAACACTGTCAACCAGCAACGACAATTAAATAAAAGAGTGCCTGATAGAAATACCCATCGAATAACAAACAGCCCGTTTATAAAGTGAGCGTCCCCTCAAAAATATTTAAAAATTGCGTGAAGAGAGCCTTACTTTTCAACCAGAAAGCCACAAGCGAACACCAGCATTACGCCAACAATAGCAACGAGAACGCTGAGGATATCCAAAGATGACAGCCAACCGTCAGTTGAGCAGACAGACAGACAGTCGTCATATGGCTGGTTCACCGTTCTGCTGTCGCGCTGAACACTGAGCGGGCGCAGACTTAGT